AACCATGGTAACGCTGTGTTACACTGCACATAACTACGTGTGATCCAATGTATACACCCTGTTTACATTGTATTTTATAATGAGAGTTGGAGTTGGAGGTTCTACTGTAAGTTTATAACGAATTTGGAGATGCTGTGGTATTTCTGAACTACAGAATAATTTTAGAATGCGATGTTATTGAAAATGGAAAGTTCATTTCACAGTTTTTGAAATTTCAAAATGAAGTGAAGCATTTTTTGAAACTGTTTTTACTTTTCACAAGTACATTAACTCCTGTGCACAATTAACAGTTTGACAGTCCCGAGCCCCGAGCGCACGCGCATGAGATTACTCAGTAACCATGGTAACGCATGATATTACTGACCCATTCCATTTCCCGTACAAAGGTTACAAAACACAATTAGCATGCTCATTGCTGGCCCGTAATAAGATTTGATTTGACTCGGACTTATCTAATCCACTCAACAACGTTTATCTGTACTATTCGGGACTGATTCTGTAGTATCGGCCACGTGACCAGTGTGTATCCGTCACGTGACTCGTGTAGTATCACATATGGGTTAGCTCACGTGATCCCGGCTCATTTCCTCCCGGAGTTACTTGTGGCACAGCTTACAGTTTATCAGCTGGGGCTCACTTTACAGGTCCCTGCGATTTATCAACGCCATGAAATTAGCCCTAATACAAATTATATCAACGCGCGGTTTCGGTACGTTTCCTGATTGGAGGGCTGGTGTCACGTGGTCTGTTTGCTGGCTTCTGATTGGTCGGTTTGCTTGATTGGATTACCAGAAGAGCTCTGCGCCAATTCAAATAATTAAATTAGCTGATATGGTTCTGGAGACCATGAGTTATATTGCGTATAGCTGCATTTGTCATGCTTATTTTCTTATCGCACAACCTTTCTTGATTGATTTGCAGCGGTCAACAAATACGTTTCAACCGGAATAGTCAAACGATGAGGTACAATGACTATGAGTTATTCAGAAATTTCACGAGTCGCTTTTGTGAAAATTTACTTTTGTGAACATTTCGACCGTCGTGAAAATTTTAATATTATTTGTCTGTTTAGTTGATTGCAACATACAGTTTAACCTCACGACCATGAAAGATTTAGGACATTTTGTTGAGGGTACAAATGAATAGGTAAAAATTTAGTGCAGTCTTCAATGAGAGTAAAACTGGTCGTTAAGGAGGTATGTAATTATTTTATCGTTTGAATTATCATCTGTACGTTAAAATACTTTGCCAACTTGCTCCTTGTAAGATGCTAAGTTAAGTTATTGTGCTAAGTTAAGCTATATAGTGCGTGATCGGATGCTTTTCCGTATTAATCCAACAAATCTTACATTTTATTTTCACAATAAAATCGAATCTAATCTCATTGAATAAGCGCCGCGCGCACGTTGTTCTTCAACCAGCCCTCTCCCCGAGTAGTTCCCAACCAGCCCTCTCCCCGAGTAGTTCCCAACCAGCCCTCTCCCCGAGAAGTTCCCAACCAGCCCTCTCCCCGAGTAGTTCCCAACCAGCCCTCTCCCCGAGTAGTTCCCAACCAGCCCTCTCCCCGAGTAGTTCCCAACCAGCCCTCTCCCCGAGTAGTTCCCAACCAGCCCTCTCCCCGAGTAGTTCCCAACCAGCCCTCTCCCCGAGTAGTTCCCAACCAGCCCTCTCCCCGAGTAGTTCCCAACCAGCCCTCTCCCCGAGTAGTTCCCAACCAGCCTCTCCCCGAGTAGTTCCCAACCAGCCCTCTCCACGAGTAGTTCCCAACCAGCCCTCTCCCCGAGTAGTTCCCAACCAGCACTCTCGCCGAGTAGTTCCCAACCAGCCCTCTCCCCGAGTAGTTCCCAACCAGCCCTCTCCCCGAGTAGTTCCCAACCAGCCCTCTCCCCGAGTAGTTCCCAACCAGCCCTCTCCCCGAGTAGTTCCCAACCAGCCCTCTCCCCGAGTAGTTCCCAACCAGCCCTCTCCCCGAGTAGTTACCAACCAGCCCTCTCCCCGAGTAGTTCCCAACCAGCCCTCTCCCCGAGTAGTTCCCAACCAGCCCTCTCCCCGAGTAGTTCCCAACCAGTCCTCTCCCCGAGTAGTTCCCAACCAGCCCTCTCCCCGAGTAGTTCCTAACCAGCCCTCTCCCCGAGTAGTTCCCAACCAGCCCTCTCCCCGAGTAGTTCCCAACCAGCCCTCTCCCCGAGTAGTTCCCAACCAGCCCTCTCCCCGAGTAGTTCCCAACCAGCCCTCTCCCCGAGTAGTTCCCAACCAGCCCTCTCCCCGAGTAGTTCCCAACCAGCCCTCTCCCCGAGTAGTTCCCAACCAGCCCTCTCCCCGAGTAGTTCCCAACCAGCCCTCTCCACGAGTAGTCCCCAACCAGCCCTCTCCCCGAGTAGTTCCCAACCAGCCCTCTCCCCGAGTAGTTCCCAACCAGCCCTCTCCCCGAGTAGTTCCAACCAGCCCTCTCCCCGAGTAGTTCCCAACCAGCCCTCTCCCCGAGTAGTTCCCAACTAGCCCTCTCCCCGAGTAGTTCCCAACCAGCCCTCTCCCCGAGTAGTTCCCAACCAGCCCTCTCCCCGAGTAGTTCCCAACCAGCCCTCTCCCCGAGTAGTTCCCAACCAGCCCTCTCCCCGAGTAGTTCCTAACCAGCCCTCTCCCCGAGTAGTTCCCAACCAGCCCTCTCCCCGAGTAGTTCCCAACCAGCCCTCTCCCCGAGTAGTTCCCAACCAGCCCTCTCCCCGAGTAGTTCCTAACCAGCCCTCTCCCCGAGTAGTTCCCAACCAGCCCTCTCCCCGAGTAGTTCCCAACCAGCCCTCTCCCCGAGTAGTTCCCAACCAGCCCTCTCCCCGAGTAGTTCCTAACCAGCCCTCTCCCCGAGTAGTTCCCAACCAGCCCTCTCCCCGAGTAGTTCCCAACCAGCCCTCTCCCCGAGTAGTTCCCAACCAGCCCTCTCCCCGAGTAGTTCCCAACCAGCCCTCTCCCCGAGTAGTTCCTAACCAGCCCTCTCCCCGAGTAGTTCCCAACCAGCCCTCTCCCCGAGTAGTTCCCAACCAGCCCTCTCCCCGAGTAGTTCCCAACCAGCCCTCTCCCCGAGTAGTTCCTAACCAGCCCTCTCCCCGAGTAGTTCCCAACCAGCCCTCTCCCCGAGTAGTTCCCAACCAGCCCTCTCCCCGAGTAGTTCCCAACCAGCCCTCTCCCCGAGTAGTTCCTAACCAGCCCTCTCCCCGAGTAGTTCCCAACCAGCCCTCTCCCCGAGTAGTTCCCAACCAGCCCTCTCCCCGAGTAGTTCCCAACCAGCCCTCTCCCCGAGTAGTTCCTAACCAGCCCTCTCCCCGAGTAGTTCCCAACCAGCCCTCTCCCCGAGTAGTTCCCAACCAGCCCTCTCCCCGAGTAGTTCCCAACCAGCCCTCTCCACGAGTAGTTCCCAACCAGCCCTCTCCCCGAGTAGTTCCCAACCAGCCCTCTCCCCGAGTAGTTCCCAACCAGCCCTCTCCCCGAGTAGTTCCCAACCAGCCCTCTCCCCGAGTAGTTCCTAACCAGCCCTCTCCCCGAGTAGTTCCCAACCAGCCCTCTCCCCGAGTAGTTCCCAACTAGCCCTCTCCCCGAGTAGTTCCCAACCAGCCCTCTCCCCGAGTAGTTCCCAACCAGCCCTCTCCCCGAGTAGTTCCCAACCAGCCCTCTCCCCGAGTAGTTCCCAACCAGCCCTCTCTCCGAGTAGTTCCCAACCAGCCCTCTCCCCGAGTAGTTCCCAACCAGCCCTCTCCCCGAGTAGTTCCCAACCAGCCCTCTCCCCGAGTAGTTCCCAACCAGCCCTCTCCCCGAGTAGTTCCCAACCAGCCCTCTCCCCGAGTAGTTCCCAACCAGCCCTCTCCCCGAGTAGTTCCCAACCAGCCCTCTCCCCGAGTAGTTCCCAACCAGCCCTCTCCCCGAGTAGTTCCCAACCAGCCCTCTCCCCGAGTAGTTCCCAACCAGCCCTCTCCCCGAGTAGTTCCCAACCAGCCCTCTCCCCGAGTAGTTCCCAACCAGCCCTCTCCCCGAGTAGTTCCCAACCAGCCCTCTCCCCGAGTAGTTCCCAACCAGCCCTCTCCCCGAGTAGTTCCCAACCAGCCCTCTCCCCGAGTAGTTCCCAACCAGCCCTCTCCCCGAGTAGTTCCCAACCAGCCCTCTCCCCGAGTAGTTCCCAACCAGCCCTCTCTCCGAGTAGTTCCCAACCAGCCCTCTCCCCGAGTAGTTCCCAACCAGCCCTCTCCCCGAGTAGTTCCCAACCAGCCCTCTCCCCGAGTAGTTCCCAACCAGCCTCTCCCCGAGTAGTTCCCAACCAGCCCTCACCCCAGCTGGTTGAGTGCTGGGAGAGTGCTGGGGATAGTTCTGTTAAGGAGACCAGCCCTCATCGCACCTTCATAGAGTTAGACGGGTTCCTTCTAGTAATCCTAATGCCTGACAATAACATTGTCTCTAAGTGGCTTATTGTGCTGCAAGGATTTATACTGCATTAAGTAATTATTGTTGCTTTCTAAATCAATTAGCGTATTTATATAACAATAAAATTATTCCATCTTGTCTACAGCTTGACTCAACGTGTTCGCTTTATTAGATTAGGTCGCTTAGTCAGAGCTCTGTTAATTTCAGCCCTTGTTTTACTCAACCCCTACTAGTAATAGCTGCTGGAGTACTTGATTTATAGCTGTTTTACGCGTTTATAGGCACTCAACGCGTAATCTTATATTAGTTATTACCTTATTAATTTACCGAGAAAACATGCACACATATCAACTGTTTTGTTTTCCTTGAAATTTACTTATTTGCGTAGAAAACGTTAAGATTTGAGTGTCAAAAAGGAATTTGTTTGGGACTAAATTTATTTGTTCGTGCCTGCCCACGTCATATTGTACTCCGACTGGATCTTCCTCAAACAGACAATTCATATGATAGAAAATGGTTTAATGATTTGTTAATTTCATCTGTTAATTCTTATATATATATTCACATCGTAACGCTCTTATTTACATTTTTAGTATCGGATAACGCTGCAATCATTGAGCCAAAGAACATGTTCTGTGGATTATCACCAGGTAACTACTACTTCTAAGAAACTATCACTAAGTGTTACCATGGAAACTATCACTGTAACCAACTATCACACATAAACCACCTCATTTTTATAAATCATAAATAATGTTCCACAGAACTCTAACGTTCTGAGTTCTTATTAGTAACCACCATTTTTATAAATCATAAATAATGTTCCACAGAACTCTAACGTTCTGAGTTCTTATTAGTAACCACCATTTTTATAAATCATAAATAATTTGTTCCACAGAACTCTATAAGTAACGTTCTGAGTTCTTATTAATAACCATAGTATTTATTGAAGATTTCAGCCCTTTAACTCCATCTAATTCGTATATTAAACTACTTACCAGTAACAGGATTAGTAGTAACATACAGCTAGCTCCCTTATTTGGGTCACTTCCTCTATATCTAACTTATACTTGGTCTAAGTTAAACAGCTGGGGAAACTTTATTAAAGTATGAATTAGGTTTCTGATTTGTTGGCCACTTTAAGATTAAATACTGTCAATATTTCATATCATATAATGTAACATTCAAACGTGGAGTTAAAGCCTAACTCACATGAATTTTTTGCAGTCAGCAGCAGCATTATATTATAGTTGTATAACATAACGAGTTCTAGATATTCGTTATAAAGAGCAGCAGTATATAATAATATTACAACACCACTACAACACCACTACAACACCACTAGAACCCCTCTCTTCAGGAATGATGGGGGTAGAGGACGCACTGTTGATGAAGAAACGGAAGTCGAGAAGGTTCCGGACTACTTTCACCAGCTGTCAGCTACAAGCTCTGGAAGGAGCTTTCCAGCAGACGCACTATCCGGACATGTACATGAGGGAGGAGCTGGCGATGAGGATAGATCTCACAGAGGCTAGAGTACAGGTCAGTAGTGGTATTTACTGAGGCTAGAGTACAGGTCAGTAGTGGTATTTACTGAGGCTAGAGTACAGGTCAGTAGTGGTATTTACTGAGGCTAGAGTACAGGTCAGTGTGGTATTTACTGAGGCTAGAGTACAGGTCAGTGTGGTATTTACTTGATACTAGGCTTTCTTGCTAGAAGCATGGAAGAGTAAGTAGCTGGCGCTAGATGTAAGATATGAGAGTTTGTCACCTGAAAGGGAAAGGGGTTCACCTTAAATGGGTCTGATGATATTATAACTTTATAATTGTTGTATCTCCAGACGCCATCATCTCATTATTGAAAATAGTATTTTGACACAAAATGCAGCTTAGGTGGCATTACAAAATTGTTACCTAATATTGCCAAACATGTCTACAATGTCTACATCACATGGAATACAAGGAATACAAGGAATACAAGGAATACAAGGAATACAAAGAATGCAAGGAATACAAGGAATACAAGGAATACAAGGAATACAAGGAATACAAGGAATACAAGGAATACAAGGAATACAAGGAATACAAGGAATACAAGGAATTTATTTTTAATTGTAGTTGACGAAATGAGAGTCTCCACTCAGTGTGTTAAAACATAATTCTTTGTCGACGTTTCGGCTACATGCCTTTGTCATAAACAGGACGTACTGAAAACTTACATAGCTGCAAAGATACAATGTTAAAATAATCTATTAATACTACGAAATATAACAACAAAAAATAACATCTTGAAATACAACAACAATCACAAATTTATCCAAAAGAAACATAAAATATAACGGCTAAAAGAATCCACACCGCAACAACCCGTGAACAATTCCTCATAGTACTACAAACATTTTACCAAGATAGCTCCTTCATAAAACTGATTAATCAAAAATTATCTAGGTTTATAAGTTCAATATTACATTAACTTCCAAGTATATTTTATCCAATCACCTTCATTTACGGACTCAGACAATTGAGTATTTATTTCTGGGTTTTCACGTTTTATTAGAACCGACTGCCACAATTGACGGTCCACATAGTCTTTACATCTTTTTCGAACTATAAACCGAAACGGTATGTTTGGCATTGAAATGTCTGCATGCTCCTCTAGGTAGTGCTTCCCCATGGCCGTAGATTTGTTGCCATCCCTTACTGATTTGTAGTGTTCCCAGGCTCTACTTCTTTTAAACCTACCAGTTTCCCCAATGTAGGACTTATTACATATTTGGCATATTAATTGGTAGCAAATGTTTTTGATCATGCAGGATTTATCGCACTGGTAGCATTTGCTGTCACTTTGTTTATTGCATTTTGTTTGCTGTAGGCTAGATCTTGTTAAAGCTTCCATGAGACGTTGTCCTGATGTGAATGTTACCCTGGTGGAATCCAAGAGGTTTTGATTTCTTAGGGTATAGTAGACTTTTCGACACGTTTTATGACAAAGGCATGTAGCCGAAACGTCGACAAAGAATTATGTTTTAACACACTGAGTGGAGACTCTCATTTCGTCAACTACAATTAAAAATAAATGATTGACCCACTCATAAGAGCAAAACAAGATTACCAGAATACAAGGAATACAAGGAATACAAGGAATACAAGGAATACAAGGAATACAAGGAATACAAGGAATGCAAGGAATGCAAGGAATACAAGGAATACAAGGAATACAAGGAATACAAGGAATACAAGGAATACAAGGAATACAAGGAATACAAGGAATACACGGAATACACGGAATACAAGGAATACAAGGAATACAAGGAATACACGGAATACACGGAATACAAGGAATACAAGGAATACAAGGAATACAAATCTTAAGCTACAAGATTAGCTGTCAAGATAATAACAATATATCTTAACGCGATTTCTTGCCCCATCAAAAATAACAATATTAACAAAGAATGAAATTCACAATATTAGGTATTTTTTAATTTACCCAAATTAATTTTTACTTTTAAAAATATACATACATACATACATGTTACATGGTAAGGTCTCCTCCTAGTCGTTGGAGTGGCCTGCATCACACACATCGCGTTGGCGGCGTAACATATGTCTCCACTGTACTCGGTTGGTAGCCAAAGCTTCTGTCGTGTTGTTGTCGATGTTTTCAACACCTGTAAACTTAGCAGCATCTTCGAGTACGCAGGACTTCCAGTTCTTACGGGGTCTGCCCCTTGACCTCTTTCCATAATTTGGCTTCCAGTTCAACAGAAACCTCGGTAGTCTAGAGTCTGGCATTCTAACTACATGTCCATACCAACGTAGCCTGGCAGCACTGATGAAAGTCTCGACTGACTTGATGTCAGCCCTCCTAAGAACTTCTTCGTTGGTCACATGAAAGAACCATTTAATCCTAAGGATCCTTCTCAAGGAGGTTTGATGGAAAACCTCGAAGCGTTTCATCTGCTTTTTGGTGGTGTTCCAGACTTCAGCTCCATACAACAAGATGGTGAGGACAGCAGCCCTATAGATCCTAATCTTGGTTGGAGTCTTTATAGTTCTGCTATTCCAAATGTTCCAGAGCTGATGAAAGGCGCCATTAGCCTTCTGGATACGGACATCCAGGTCTCTGTTGATTGTCCCATCCCCACTGATAGTTGCACCCAGGTAGACAAAGTTGCTAACCTGCTCGACGGGTTCGACGGTTTAAAAATATACGTATTGATAAAATTTTCTCAAATAAAAAGAATAAAGATTTTTCACACGTGTCAGTATACATACTGCTAAGTAAAAAATAACACATGTATCAGTATACATTTTACTAAGCACATTGTACATTATACATTGCACATTGTACATTGTACATTACACATTGTACATTGCACATTGTACATTGCACATTGTACATTGTACATTGCACATTGTACATTGTACATTGTACATTGTACATTGTACATCTTTGTAGACGGTTCAGGTTGTAATATTTACGCTAATCAAAATATTTGTTGCCTTTAGAAAGAAGCTTAGAAATATTTACGAACACTGATTTACCCAAATTATTTTTTACTTTTAAAAATATACGTATTGATGAAATTTTCTAAAATAAAAAGAATAAAGATTTTCACACGTGTCAGTATACATACTGCTAAGTAAAAATAACACATGTATCAGTATACATTTTACTAAGTACAGTGTACATTGTACATTGCACATTGTACATTGTACATTGTGCATTGTACATTGTACATTGTACATTGTACATTGTACATTGTACATTGTACATTACACATTGTACATTGCACATTGTACATTGCACATTGTACATTGCACATTGTACATTGTACTTTGTACTTTGTACATTGTACATTGTACTTTGTACATTGTACATCTTTGTAGACGGTTCAGGTTGTAATATTTACGCTCATCAAAATATTTGTTGCCTTTAAAAAGAAGCTAAGAAATATTTACGAACACTGATTCCACATTGAAAAGCTTTAGATCGCATCGTATTTCAAGTATCAGAGATACTAAACACGCCAGTACGTTTACTCATGGAACTACAGTTGTTATACTCTGGTATTTAGTTAGTATAAGCCATAGTCTTTTTGTTGCGATTCTCTGGCTTATTCAAATAGCAATCAATACATAGCTTTGCACCGCTTCAAGTTTTGAAAATTGCGGCCCAATCACGTCAGACACTTTGTTTCGTTTGAAAAGCAGGAAAAATCCAAAAAACAGAGGAATATTGAAGTTGTGGCAGGTTTGAATGTGTAAGCAGTTTAGCCGGTGTGTTTGTATACTTTATGTATGAATAGTCACCCACCACACGACCACCCGTGCTGTGTTGTTCCGTGTGTTTACTCAGCAGTAGTCATGTCTGATTTCTTTCAAAACATAAAGCGGGGAGTGAAGGAGTACGCCCGGAGCAGCAGGACGTCGGACGGCCGGTCCACACTTCACATAGCAGTGCTCACCAACTCCTGCTCTCCAGTACAGACCCTGCTGGACGCTGGGGTGGACAGGTTCGCTCAGGATAGAGCGGGGAACACGGCACTACACGTAGCAGCTGCTGAGGGTGCCGGAGTGGCACTCAGGACTCTGCTCACTTACGAACCAAGGAACCTTACTCCTGATCCTGTGGGCTTTGAGGGCGAGGAGGTTTCTCTGCCTCCTCCGGCACGATCTGTCGCTGAAATGGTAGATCTAAAGAACTTGAAGGGAGAAACAGCCCTACATTTAGCTTGCAGAGCTAACAGTTTGACTTGTATTGAAGTACTGCTAGAGAACGCCTCGGACATGTACAATATGACATGTGAAGGGAAGCAGCCAGTCCACTACGCTGTTAAATACGACAGCGTGGAAAGTGCTACCCACCTTCTTATGAAGGATATTGGGTTAGCTCACACTGACTCTAACGACGAGCCCCTTATCCACCTGGCTGCTTCAAAGGAGATGGTGGAGTTACTGGTAAAGTACGGGGTAGATGCTAATGCTAGGGACTGTACTGGTCTCACTGCACTTCACACTGCTGTTAAGAACAAGAACTTCCAGCTTCTCATGGCACTGCTTCTCTCAGGGTGCCCTGTTGATCTGGTCGACTCAGAGGGGAACACTGCGCTGCACACTTGTGTCTCTCAGAATGTTGAACATGACTTCCCCAAGACACTCGTAGTGTTTGGTGCTCCGTTAGAAGCTAAGAATAACAAAGGTAACACAGCGTACCAGACAGCTGAACAGGCTGATAATGAGGAATATGTGAGTTTGCTGACTGAGGTCGGGGGTCATGATGATCTGTTCCTGGCTAGGGGGGACAGGGAGGGTAAAGTTAGGACCTCTCAGGAACGCGATCACCCGAGGAAACGTCCAAATTGGGGGGCTAAAGACGCTGCTGTTCTCTGCATTGATGGTGGTGGGATGAAGGGGCTGGTTGCTATTCAGATTCTCTTAGAGATAGAGAAGTGCACTCAGACGAGTATAGTGGACCTGTTTGATTGGGTGTCAGGATCTAGCATTGGGTCCCTTGTAGTCCTCGCTCAGAAACACGCTGTCATGGACAATGTAAGACCCGGCGGTCAGGTGGAAGACTACCGTAATCTACAATGGTGGACCAAACTGTACTTAGATAAACCTAGGGTGGAGTGCTTATTTTAGGCTCCACAAGAGCGCTCCTACAACTCTTGAAACATGATTATGCCTGGCTAGCCGGAGTAACGAGTTCGACTTACCTACATCATGTCCTCCTTCAGGTCCACCAGGGTCCCGAGTTCGTAACGTCCCACTAATATAGTGGTACCCAACCACGGATACTCGGGAGCATTATTCCCGCAAGTGGCGGGAAGGAACTTAGTAATTTCAATCACAATTATAGCTCAGGATATTTCCTGGCTGGTGACTCAATAGTCACATACTTCAGTTTAGAGACTAGTAACATACGCCTATTTAAGGGGGCCGGAATAGAACTTCCGACATCAAGGTAATTAGAAGTAAACATACAATAGTCTTCAATAGAATATTTAACACGTAACCTATTAGCCCGTCCTAGGAGTACTCACCTCAGTATAGGAAAGGAGTTAGTTACAGGAAAGGAGTTCCGATGGGTTGGACTCTAGATATGTGATGATCTCCGCTGTTCACCACGATATGTCGTCAGTGCTCCTCCAAGAGTAGTATTCCATCCTGTCGTAAGAGAGTCCGTTGTAGAGAGAACCCAGGTTGGTGAGGACTGGAGAGAGAGAGCCCCAACTAAGTATTGTGCCGTATATTTATATCCTCCTCGTTAGGAGGTCGTTAATGAGAATGGTGTTATCTTGATTACTTCTCGATTGACTAACTTCGTTTAACGACCGTGGAGGGTTCCTTAGAGCGCTATCTTAACTTAGCTTGATTAGTTATGATTGACTGCGCTCGCTTCAGCTTTGTGATTGCTCCAAAACGCTATCTTGGTTGTCACTTTTATCTTGGTCCTTCCTTTGACGTGGGTTCACCAATTATCGTTGGCTGAAGTCAATTAACTCCGATAATCTAAAGAATTAATATCCAAGAGGCATTACACACAGGTAACTGAACACATACTGGTATGCTGAATACACACCGATATGCTGAACCATCGGAGGTTCTTACAGCTTTCTTCTTTTTAACTTTGACGTCCGCGTCAAGACTGAGGCATCCCAGTGGTGAGAACCTCGGCTGTGAGTCCGGCTTTTCCTAGAGTCCAAGGGTAAGGAGTGTGGGTTTTCCTACACGAACTAGGGGCTATTTAACACATATAAACAAAAGGTCTAGTGATTTGTTCAATGATACTATAAGGTATCGCTCCGTTGAACTTGAACATAACTAGGCTAGGGTAACGTCAGTTACCCTACTGGTGATTATGGTCATTGGCTAAATAATTTAACTCTCTGGTCCTATTGCATTCTTTAGTTCAGGGATAAATAATTCAACGTTATTGTTCTACTGCAATTGTCCCGTTCCTTTGGTGGGGATATATTTGTAGTCCCGATGGAGGTATAGGGTTTGAGAGTTGTTCTCTGGCTCTGGTTTGTTGATGCGTTCCGTTCTCGTCATCAATAGCCGCGTTCTGAAAAAGGGGGTAGTTAGTGATTCAGCTTGGAGAAAGTGTTGTGTTCCTTCAGAAGTGAAGGGACTTAGTGCTAAGTTTTTATAGGATGCATCATTTTACTATGGTCGTAGCTTAGTGCATATATAGTTAGTATTCCCGTTAATGATAGTTTTACTAACTTAAAAATGGGGCCTAAAAATGAGGCCTATAAAAGATGTCATCAGTTGATACCGAATTTACTGTGACAGGTAATACTTAGACAGGTGGGTGTGGGGGTGTTTCGAAGGTAGCTGTGAAGAAGGTGTCGGGTAGATGTTCCGGTAGGGTTGTCGTTGATCTGGTGCTACGAAGCCTCGTGGTCACGTTTCCAACTTGTAGCTTTTGTCGTTATCACCAAGGAGATGTAGCTCCCGGCTCGTTATAAATGAGTTGGTTAACTTCCAATTGCTCCAGTCGTAGGGATATGTCGTTTAACCGTTGCCAGAGCTCATCTCTTTCCAGCTCGAAATTCCCGTTGTCCTCCTGGTAAGTTACCACGTTGACTGGCTTTATTGATGCCGTTTGGCATCCGTGTAAGGTGATCGCTGCATCCAACAGCTGCTCCATTTCGAGCTCTTGTAGTTCCCTTAGCCGCGATGCTAAATAGGAGTCGTTGATGTTGGCGATAAATGATTCTCTGAGAGACCCGTTTCTCATAGCATCATTGTTTGGATAAGCCTTCTTTACCAGTTTGTGTAACTCGAGGTGGTATTCCCAGATACCTTCTGTCCGAAGTCTTTTTCTGTTGCGTAACTCCGTTATGTACCGTTCTCTGTTACGGCCTTGCCCTTCTGCACGCCTGATTTGGGCGATGAGTTCGTCTAAATCGCCCTGCACGAGTTGAACCGTTCTCGAGATCCCTTCTAGTACCTTGTCCTCCAGCAAGCTTATTAGAAGGTCCGCTTGTTCGTTTGCCGGACAGTTAATGGATCTGGAGTACGCCCGGAACCGTTGTAGGTATAGGTCCAGGTCCATCCCGCTCTTGAACTGTGGTGGTGCTCTTATGAACATCGGGTTGAGACGCTGCGGCATTCTGGCTGCTGCTGCGGCGGCGTTATTACCTTGTGGATCGGCCATTTTCTGTCAAAGTACCGATTAGTAGGGGTGTTATTTAAGTGCATTTTTTTTAAAAATAACTTTGTACTTTGTAATCAAAACTCTAACTAGTACATTGTAGTATAAGAGTATAATATGAGAGTATAAGAAATGATCTGGATTTTTGGTTACTATGATCTCATACGTCCAGGAAGAACAGTTTGCACATAATATATGAGTGTTTGGAAATGCGGATTAATTGCGACTTATTGTCCGCACACATTTTTTTTAAAGGAACTTGATCTAAGATAAAGCTGATTCGGGATGCGGCCAGTTGCATTTCACGTGTGACTTTTGCCATTTCCAAAAGAACGACAGTGTCAACTTCAAAATTTCAAAGGTGCAAGTTGCTTTTCTCTTATTCCAGAACGCTGTAAGGTTGTGAATTGTGATTATGCACTATACTACTGAGATCAATTATAGACGGTACTGTGTTAAGGAGGTAATTTCTAATAATATGATTATTATAAGTATTAATACTAAATAGTTCCACTTTTGTTGCACGATGGAGCAAATCCAGATCATCAGTACTGGTAAAAATAAACGTTGACGGTTTTTAAAATCAAAGTGTATCTGATGCTTTGCCAGAAGTATTCGTTCACTTCTGGTCTTCGACCTCCTGTTACATTTGTGTAACCAGGCGCAGTCTGAGCTGACCCCATTTCCGCAGTTTAAAGAACTGCCCATTGCTTCCCAAGGTTCACTTTTTAATCCCCTCGATCACAACAGCTACATTCGCTTACTAACTGGACGATCATAAAGACCAAGTCGCTTTTAGCTTATGTAGGCCCGACTGTACATTGAGCAGATCACGCAACCTTTTACATAAAAGGATGTTACGCATATGTGAACCTACCGGCAAGGGACCCAGTCTGTAGCGATGGATGACCAGTAAGTGGGATTGGCACTCCTAGGTTCCACCGACGGTCTGACCCATAGAGGACTTAGCTGTCACAACTATGAACTTTGACCGTTTTCTCTTGCCTTGCCTGTTCACTAGATCTTATCATCCAAATTTTCATAACTCCCGTAAAACATGGGTAATTTTCCACCTTTGTGGGGTTCAAAAAGATAAGATACTAGCTAGGTGTGGACTGTCGTCCACGTACCACCGTGTTCCACTTGCCTGGGGACGTATGTTCAGTCCTGGGGGTGACAAGCTCCAGGTACTGAACACCAGGTAGCCCGAAAACACGGCCGACTAGAGGGTACCAAGGCAGTGTGTTAATTCACACTTCGTTAGACACGGGAGCCTTCAGTTTCCTCTCCAGCACTATATATTTGTTTAACGTGTCCCCGGATCCTCGCGGATCCACCTCCCCCTGTTAGAGACTGGGATTATAAGGAGCTCATCCCTCTTCCCAATCTCTCAAATAATATAATAAATATCTCACGTGCAAAAACGAAGCTTGCTGAGTTTGTATACAAGTATACAGTATTCCGATGTTTTATAGTAGTTTTTAGAATAGCACTACCCGTGCATTGACTTTACCAAGGGAAAATCCCAGGTGAATTTGGTAAAGCAATCAAGTACCGTGAAAATAAATGCATTGCCGTTTGCATTGCTAGCTAGAGGGAAATGCCGTTGCAATGATGTATGTGACGACAAGGGAAACAAAAAGGGGGAGCGGGAATGGAGCAATCTGCTTGTTTACCATATTTGTGTAACCAGGTTACCAGGTTTGTTACCGTATGTGTAATCAGGTTACCAGGTTTGTTACCGTTTATGTAACCAGGTTACCAGGTTTATTACCGTTTATGTAACCAGATTACCAGGTTTATTACCGTTTATGTAACCAGGTTACCAGGTTTATTACCGTTTATGTAACCAGGTTACCAGGTTTATTACCGGTTATGTAACCAGGTTACCAGGTTTATTACCGTTTATGTAACCGGGTTACCAGGTTTATTACCGTTTATGTAACCGGGTTACCAGGTTTATTACCGTTTATGTAACCAGGTTACCAGGTTTATTACCGTTTATGTAACCGGGTTACCAGGTTTATTACCGTTTATGTAACCAGGTTACCAGGTTTATTACCGTTTATGTAACCGGGTTACCAGGTTTATTACCGTTTATGTAACCGGGTTACCAGGTTTATTACCGTTTATGTAACCAGGTTACCAGGTTTATTACCGTTTATGTAACCAGGTTACCAGGTTTATTACCGGTTATGTAACCAGGTTACCAGGTTTATTACCGTTTATGTAACCAGGTTACCAGGTTTATTACCGTTTATGTAACCGGGTTACCAGGTTTATTACCGTTTATGTAACCAGGTTACCAGGTTTATTACCGTTTATGTAACCGGGTTACCAGGTTTATTACCGGTTATGTAACCAGGTTACCAGGTTTATTACCGTTTATGTAACCAGGTTACCAGGTTTATTACCGTTTATGTAACCAGGTTACCAGGTTTA